AATTTTTTTTTTTAACATTTATTTATTTTTGAGACAGAGAGAGACAAAGCATGAACGGGGGAGGGTCAGAGAGAGGGAGACACAGAATCTGAAAGAGGCTCCAGGCTCTGAGCTGTCAGCACAGAGCCTGACGCGGGGCTCGAACTCACGGACCACGAGATCATGACCTGAGCCGAAGTCGGCCGCTTAACCGACTGAGCCACCCAGGCGCCCCCAAAAAAATTTTTTTTAAAAAGGGAAAAAAAAAAGAATCCAGAAGTGGGAACTCATGTACAGGAAGGAAATTAGCTAGACAGGCTTCCAATGCTATAGACTGTAGCACTGAATTGTGAGTTTTCATTTTATCCATCAGCCAGAGTTTGAGTTCTCTGAAGGAAGGGACCAAATTTTAGGTTCTTTTTATTTCTCACAGGGCCTAGCATATGGCTGGACACAACATATATACCTTATATATGTTTCAATTGATTTGAGTCCCAAAGTTTTACCTTTTTCATCCCAACTCCATCCTGTATCTGTAGAAGGAAGTCTAACGTCTGATCATCAGTGAAATACCCAGGAGTAGGCTGGCTGCAAATGAGAACACAGTGATCAGTGGTGAATAAGAAGAAGAGGAAAACAAGGAATTCTCTTCTCCTGCATTGCCCCACATATCAAGTGATTGTTCTGAGGAATTCTGACACATGGGAAAGCGGATCAGAACGGCAAACACACAGAGGAACACGCTGCAAACCTGTGCAGGCCTTGCAGGCTCAATGTCCAGGAAGGTGTCAGATTTTGCCCCCGCAGCAGGACAAGGCCTTGTCTGGCTGTAATCAGGAGGTTGCTGCAGTTGGAATCAGGTGCCTTCACCATCTGGAGTAGCTCGACACCATCACTGAATTAAACAAGACCCCAACAATTAGCCTCCAGCTGGGATGAGATTCCCAACCCACCAGCTTGGGCTTTTGGTCTTGGTACTCTTGTATGCATCTCCCACCATTATCTCATCAGGTGGGCACTCTGTCATTCCAGGGAATGTCAGTTTAGAAACCAAACATCTCTAGAGAATTCATGCAAGTTCAAAAGGAACTCCCAGGAGAAGCGCTGCAAAGCCATATCTCTGATGTTAGACGCCCTGGGAAAGATAACAGAGCCAAGGATAATGGCGAGGAAGGCGGATGGAAACCTGGACAGGAGGCCTGAAACTGTCACTAAGCTTGGACAGCAACTCACTTAACACTGCATCAAATTATTTCTCTGTCTGGACAACTGGGACGATTCTATTTAACAACTGCCAAACTGACTGAAACAATGTGATACTGCCAGAGAAAATGCTAGAAAATGATTTGAAACTTCTGACAGAATAGAATGAAGACAATTACCATCCAGGCCTGGGGTTAAATGGGTAAAATCCACTCCATGTGGAAAATGGCATGCTTTGGATTAAGAAATAAACAAAAATAAAAAATAAGATTTCATGGATGCTAGCCTTGCTTCTGCCAAAATGAGTTTTTAACTAAGAGAAAAACACAGAAAAAGAGTAGGGCAGATGCTTCAGCACAGTTTTACAAGCAGGCATTTTAAATAAATCTGTCTCCCTACCTGAAGGGTTCCCAGTCTCACCTATCCCACTCTCAGAACCCTAAACAAATATCCTTCTTTGCAACCTATGTGCAGAGTGATCACAAATCATGATCACCAACACATAGCTATCAACACATTATGTTACCAAGAAAAGAAAGCTTCTAACTCACCAGACCAGAAGATGGTATATTAAGGGCAGCACTGTTTCCCCCCAAACTTCTGCCCACTTATTCACCAGCCCAACCAAACTTGGAGACTCCATAACACATGAGATCTCAGATCTCACTGTGACAAAGTCAGACATCTGCCCTACCTGTAAATGTCAATGAGCTCAGACAGGTTGATAGATCTTCGCTTCTCCCATTCTGGCTCTTCTATCTGCAGAGAAGGTGGTAAGCTGTCTCGATTTTGGGCCTGAACAAAAATGTCCCGCAGGGCGACAGCTTGGATATTTCCTAGCACCACAGGAAGAACCAACACTGAGAAGTTGAATTTACTAGAACTCTCCCAGGGTGAGGATCTGAGCAAGAGACACAGAGCGGAATCAGATGGGTCTAATATAGCCCACCCAGTACATATCCAACATGGAGTAACTGGAGAAGTGATTAAGCGGATGCTGCACAGTCTTTGGAGAAGGCAGCTGAGAAAAGCAGAGTTAATTACCCGCAATGGGTGGGGGAGAGTGAGAGGCCCCTGGGACAGGAGGTGGCAATAGGGCTGGTGACAGCAATTCCCGAGCTTTCATTGTCTCAAAAGGGAGGCCTAACACACACACACACAGATGGGGAACAGCAGCAAAACTACACTTAATTCTTACCAAAGCCAAAAAGGATATAGACAGCCCCGTTTGTGGTGACGTAAACCTGAGGACCAATCAGATTCCCCACGCCCACGATGTTGTACTTCACAGGTCGGCCCACCGGACTCCCTGTCCGGCCAGACACCAGCAGAAAGCACAGATCTGGCTGAAGAAGCAAAAAAACGGGAGTCAATAGGTGTCATATCGTCTCCTAATCAAGTAGCTTCTACAGAAGTCACTGCGCTCTGATTAGCTAAGGGTTCAGAAACACTTCCCAAAGTTGCACAGCACAAAGCCAAACCTGCTTCCCTTTTTTTCCCTGGAAGAAAGAAAATGAAGCCAATGTCCCATTCCTTGTTAGATATGTGCAAAAAGCATCTTCATGGTAGCTCAGGCAATTTCTCTGAAGCATGGTTGTTGCTGATTAACAGTCTTCTGAGGCACAGAGTTCTAGCCGAGAGCTAAGTATAGGACAGCTGACTGCTGGGTCTCTATTCTCATGCCCAGAAATCCCTAGTAATATTTGGTCCCAACTAAAATCAACACGGGCAGTCTCTCCCATCATAACATTACATGTCTAGCCTGGCCACTATCAACCCTCAAGCAGAGATCAGCAAACCTATCCTGTGAAGAGTCAAAAGGTGGATATTTTAGGTTTTGCAACTCAGATGATTTCTGTAGCAACTAGTCAACCACCATAGTGTGAGAGCAGCCATCGATAATAATAAATGAAGAGGCATGACTGTGCTCCAATAAAACTTTAGAAAAACAAGCAGGGGGCCAAATCTGGCCTGCAGGTCAGTTTGTTAACCCTGCCCTAAAGGGTTTTCGTTAGGAATAGAGTCACCGGTCACTACAATATGAGGCTTGTAGTGATATCCTAACTTAAGTAAAGCTTTTGACGAAGTTTAGTATCATGAATTCTTCTGGACAAGATAAAAAGTATGGTTTTCAGTGTACCTAGAGTAAAAGTCAATGCCAATCCAGAGGGAGACTTTTGGTGGGATGTCACAGCACTCTGCCATTATCCCATTGCTACTAATGATTCTCATCAAAGACTTGAATGAATAGCTCATCTCAAGCTTATCACAGAACTGAAAGTGATAGCTAATATGCTATATGACAAACTCAAAATTCAAAGAAGTCTTAGGCTTGGAAGATGGGTCAAAATCTGAAAGAAGAAATGGGGCCACTAATGAGTTGATTAAGTAGAAGGTGTGGGTGCTTTAACGGATTATAAACAAAAACTAAATCTTAGAAAGGCTATCGCAATCTTCAGCTACATTAATAGAAATATAAAGCCTATATCTAAAGAAGTAATAATTTCCCTATGCTGGTAAAACTGGCTATATCACAAATAGAATATTGTTTTCAGATATGGGTACCACATTTTAAAAGAGATATGGATAAAATGGAGTGCAAAGGAAAATAAAGCAAGAAAGAGAGGGGTCTAGACTTCATTTTGTACAGAGTACAGTATAAGAAATTGGGGGTAGCCTTAGAGTAGCAGGTGTAGTGGGACGAGGCTAAGGGCTAACAGGCCTACATGAAAGCATGTAGAAAGAGGATTAGATTCTTTCAGAGTAGCTCTGTGGGGCTGAAGCTGGAACAGTGAGTGGAAGCTATGAGAAAACAGAATTCTCACCAATGTGACAGAATTTTCTTGACCTGACCAAAAATGAAATGAACTGCCTTACAAATCAGTGATATTCCCATTAGCCTGAGTACTCATGGAGAGTATGGATGCCAATGTGTCTAGAATACCGTATCAGACTATAGCACAGTGGAAGAGGGTTCACCACATGGCTTTTAAGGTCCCTTCCCACCTAGAAGATCCAAACTGTTCTAGACCAGATCAGTTCCTCTCACCCCAAACCAGGTCCCACTGTCCCAAGCCCGCCTCACTCTAAACCCAGATCTAAGAACAGAGTCACTCTAAGTCATAGACCTCATATGTTCTATTCCTCAAGAAGAGAGAGCCTTCTATACTGTAGCTTAGAGTAAACCAGCTTAAGTTTCCCAGGTTCTTTGTTGCTGGCATCATGGTCAAGAGAGGTCAGTAGAAAGATGAGGCTACTGCTGTAAACCCATTGCTTCACTAAGATTTTTTTAATCTATCAACCATCTATCAACCATCTATCAACTTTTCAGGCAGAATGTGTAAGTAAGTAAATTCTGTGACACAAGTTGGGTGATACACTTTTTTTGCTGTTTGGTTAAGACAAAAAAAAAAAAAAAAAAAGCACAGAGTTGGAGCAGACAAGAAGCTAATTCCTCTAATAGAGGCCACCTCACTACGGAGGGTCCTTAGAAGCCAGAACCTCTAGCCTGTCAACCACCTCTGGCTAATAAGAAGCCAAATGGGGTATTAAGGCCGAGATTTTTAAATTTATCCAGGATACAGAAACTTTTTCAATTTCTTGCTATGCCTCTGCTAACCATACCTCCATTGAAAAGAAACTCCCCATAGTTTCCACTTTGGCACCTTCAGATAATCACTCCCTGATGGGCATAGTCTTCAAAAATTTCCCTACACCCTGGTCTCTTTATTCACAATGACTGTAGTAAAAAAGGTTATGTAAACAACAGTTGAGTTTTGGGTTCAATCTACTTTGAGACCAACTGGCTAGCTGAAGAAAAACTAACAGAAAGCACCCTTAAAACAAACTAGCCTTCAGAAATTTACCTAACTTCTTTGTTTTCATCTTACAAAGTATCGCCAGGTGTCCTAGAGCAGTGCTCCTCAACACTTGTGATTGGTGAAGCACTCTCAGTTAGTCTCTGGTGCTCCTGGCAGAAAACCATAAAACACTGATAGATTTCGCGCTATTCTAAATAATTTTACTTGCAGATTTTATAACTATACTCCACGTATATGCATTACAAAAATCACAGCAGCAAACACAAGGTCTACTAAAAATTAACATATGCTACCAAATAAAGCAAAATCATCTATATCCACAGTTTTCCACAAATATTATCTGCCAATTGTTCCTGGCAAACTCACATAGGAAGTCTGAGAAAAAGACTTAGAGGAATTCTGACACAAGCTTGAAGAAAAGCTTTAGGAGTAAAAACTTAAAGTTGAGATAAATCTGTTCGTTAACATATTCTTTCCTGTGAATCAGGAGGGAAAACTACTATTATTTTAACTGTGCACAGAAAAACTAGTTCCAGTACCCCACAGCTCCAATAAAGCAGAATTGAGAAGCGTAATTTAAGGACCAATGTACTAGACTCAAAGTCTGTATTATCATAGCCTGCGTTACAACTATCCTTTCTTAGGTCATTGTTGTTATTACTTATTCAACTTACAACATGCTCTATGTACATGAACTATCAGCCTATCTTATTGTTTTATGTAAAATAAAAATTAAGTATACATAACTAACAACACAAACACATGGTCCAATAGGCACTACGTTAGGCACTTAAATACATTAGTTCCAACTTTCACAACAATCCTGTGAGTAGACAGAACCTTCCCATGTCCAGGGCCCAGCTGGATCCCATGGCTTGCCCACGGCCACACAGCTACAGCAGAGCACGAATTGAAACACAGACCTATTTGGCTCCAGAGCTCTACCATGTCACAGTCAATGGGAACATAATGAGGCTGCCGGGGAAAACGAGTTCATGATCGTAATTTATTCATTAAATCTCACAAAGACTATTTGCTTAAACCCAAGCCCTCGTAAAAAGGTTTCGAGCAGCATTTATAATAACAACACTAGGAGCTGACTAAAGTTGGAACATTTCCTATGAGAAACACAGACCATTTAATATAGGGCATACCTGCAATTCCCCAATGGCCAGGACTACAAGATCTCGAACACCATCTTCATCCAAGTCTGGCAGCACCACCCCTGGGGCAGCCAGGGTACCGTTGGATAAGTAGTTTGGGTTTAAAGTCCAAATGGCTTTCCCTAGGGGAGGGCAAAGAGTCTGATCACAATTGACAGCTTTCGGACTCTGGAAAAGGCAGACGCCATGCTCCCAGATCAGAAAAGAGAAACCCAATGGGCAAACGACAGACAGCAGCTCTTCCTTCCTTTTTCAGTTTTTATCTTACAGGGGACAAACGGAGCAGGGAGTGTAAGCTGAAATCCTCAAGTGTCTGACTCATAAACCTGTGTGATAACTTCATGCCTAGATTTTTTAGATAAAATAGAAGTGCTGAAGTCTCTTCAAGAAAGAGGAGCCCACTTGTCTGGGGCAGAGAAACTGATCTGTAAGAGATTATTACAGCTATTAAGGAAACATCCAGGGGCAGCCAGCCAGACCAAGTCTCCCTCCCGCTACCACATGTTCACATGAGCAGGGAAATTGTAGGAGGTTTTCAAAATGACTTCACTTCTGGAGTTAACTCACATTTAAATTTTTTTCGCTCAAAGTTACCCCACTACCAAACTCCAACCTCTAAAACTGGGAAGGTTGCTATGCATTCATTCAGCTTCGCTCAAGTCCGAGCAATACACTTATGGTGGTGTCGGGGGCCTTCATTATATTTGATTCTCTTTCACTCCTTGTGTCATGGATGTCTGAGTATAATAAGAAGTCAAAAGGCCAAATCAACATGCATCAACAAACCTTAGTTTCTTCCCTGAACTTTGCTGAGGTGGTTAATGGCCAAGTTTACACAGGGACCTCGTATATATCAGATACAAGAGACAGAGCTTGGCTGTCTTTTGTACACAGCAGGAAGACTAGAAACCAAAAGCCTCAGGGTAGTTTCTGTTTGGGCAATTCAGTTTAGCCCCAACCTAACACCAAACAGGTTTAACCGTGGATCCATTACTCAATCTATTCAAACCCTTTCTCTATCTACCTTAATACTCACCTTCCCAAGTAGTAAAATCAGATTTTCCATCATGCGACAGTGGTAAGGCCCCTTCCACACGAGACTGTTCTGACCAGAGACTGTGACTCACTGGAACAGAGGCTTTTGTGGAAAGTGATCTTTACCTGATGTCGCATTGAACGCACTGAACATCTTATGCGTCCCTGTCACGAGGCAGATGGTTTCAGCCACGCTTCCTGGTATCAGATCCAAACATGTAATATCTCGGGCCTCCTCGGGGAGGGGACTCAACCAGAGTGTGCTGCCATTCATCCCCGAAAGGCACACAAGGATAGCAGCTGGCCTTGAGACACCTAAAAGCACTCGAGAGATACAAGAAAAGAAAGGAGACAGAGAAGATAAACAGTACAGGTGAGAAGGAGGCCAGAAAACCAAAAGTAAATGGTGCCGAAGCAGCACCTCACACCTGCGTATTCTGCTCCTTCCCATATTTCTGGCTCCAAGTCTCAACAACAGAGTTCCTCTCATATCTGTTCAACACACTTCCCACGTAAGACAAGAGGTTGTGGACCTCGTCTGGGCCACCTTGTGTGAATGTTGCACCTCCCCCAACACGCTTGTTTACATGTCCGTCACCTCAGCCTCCACTAAATAGCAACACTCGTAAGGCTAAAGACTGTCACATTAATTTCTGTATCCTCAGTGCCTCACAAAGCACCTAGCACACACAGCAACCAATCGTTTGCTGAATAAAAGACAGGAGCAAAATCTAGAACATGGGAAAGTCACTGCGGAGAACAAAAGCAATCAAGAGGGTAAGGCATGCTCAGAAAAGTCAGACTGAGCTAGAACATACACAGAGCAGGGGGCAAAGAAATACCCAAGTTCTGAGACGCCGGGGTGGCTCAGTCAGCAAAGCCTCCGACTCTTGATTTCAGATCAGGTCATGATCTCACAGTTCATGAGATTGAGCCCTACATCGGGCTCTGTGCTGACAGTGTGGAGACTCCTTGGGATTCTCTCTCTTCCCCTCTCTCTGCCCCTCCCCTGCTCTCTCTTTCTCTCTCAAAATAAATAAATAAACTTGGAAAAAAAAAAAAAAAGAAATACCTGAGTTCTAATCATCGCTAGCAAGTGCTCCCTGAGAGCAGAAAAAATAAAACATTTTAAAAATAAAATCCTGAAGATTACACATAGCAATGATCAGTAGGCCTTCCTGGTCTAGACTCCCATGGAATCAGCTGATATAGCCCCAGTCAGGAAAGAATACTTGGGAAAACTTAATGTCTATGTTCAAGGACAGCTGGTAAGGGATCAGAGTAGCTCATCTCTTTAGTAAATAATCCTTTATGTCACTTAATTAACAATTAGAATAACAACTTTCTCTCTTGCCAGTTTTACATTCACTTTCAGGATAGGGATGCTGACTCATCTCAACACTTTCCACTTCCAGCAACAACCAATATGGACAAAGCAATTAAGTTTTAGAGCTTCCCTGTACCTATTCCTCAGCACTGCTAATTAAATATACAACCAAAAAACAAGAGACAAGCTGTGGCTCACTGTTTCAGACCCTGTTGCCAGAAGCATTGATACACATGACAAATTACAGTAACATATGTTAGCTCCTGGACTTCCCAGGGTTGCTGTGATTAATATACTGTGCTGTCCTTCCTCCTTAAGGACCCTCTGAGACTCCAGATCAATTCTCTGAATCATCTTTTTCCAGGTGGTAATGGGTTATCCGTTCCCCACCAGACTGTGGCTCCTTGAGGCAGAGACCACATTCATCTTGTTTAGCTCAATATGACTCGCACAGCTCTATGTAAGGTGCACAGCAGGTATTCAATTCATAGTTGTTGAATAAATGGATGCACAAATGAATAAATAAATAAGTAAATAAATAACATAATCCTTCTTGTGCTCAGTGGCACAGATCTTTGAACCCACTGGCTGGGGTTATGCGCACAGCAGTTTGACATAAGGGTCAAGGATGTGAACTCCAGAGACTCTCAGCTATACAGTTTGATCCCAGCTCTACCATTTACCAGCTATGGGACTTTGCCAAGTTCCTCAAACTCCCTATGTCTGTTTCTCCATATGTAAATGGGGAACAGGGGGATATTAGTCTACCCTATAGGATTATGTTGAGATAAATTTGTTCATAACATGTTATACACTTATACCTGTGCATAGTACACAAGAAGTACCATATGTGAGCTCCAGTGTTTTCATCATCTGTAACAAAATCAGGCTAGTCTACATTGTGCCCAAACCCATGGCCTTGCCATTAGGAGTCCTGATATATAGCAATCTGTGTAAAACAATAACTAAAACAAAGTCTCCAAATCTAAAAGGGGATAGGGAAAATTTTTACTTCAAAGGCTAATAGTCATAGACAAAAAAAATGTAATTAAAGTTCAATCATATAGAAGTCAATTAAAGTCAAAAGTCAACCCTCTAGGTTGAAGTTTCTCTCTGCAAACAGATCTATTCCTAAATTGCTTCTACAGATTACACAAGACCCAGAAAGTTTTTTTCTAATAATGTCAGAGAAGAGGGCAGCTTAGCATTCCCTAAAACATACCTAGATGTTTATTCCAGGGCCTGGATGATTAAAAAGTAGCTACTAGGGCATCCTCAGCCTCAAACCAGAGTTCCTGTATCAGTTTACAGACTACAGTTTGAATCCACTTTAATGGATGCTGTAGGACAAACCAGAAGCCCCCATGTACCTACACTGAAAATGCAACTTTTTTTTTTTTTTTTTGGTAGTTGACATATATCACACACTCAATCAGGTTAAGTTGTGGTAAGGTTTAATAAAGAGACTGTTTACAAAGTTGTGGTCTGGGTACAGACAAACCACAAGGGATAGTACAACCCCTTAGAACTGTTACCACTCCCAGGCACAAAGAGACAGGAGAGGAAGTGATTCCTGAAATCCCCAAAAAGAAAGTCCTATGAGAAGACCACCTTAAGAGAGGATGTGACCTACGATCAAGGATGTAGCCAGCCTGAGTTCACCCTGGCAGGGAGGGAGCCAAGGGAATAAGTACCCTCCCCCCACTCTCTTCCTCTCCTCCAACTTCTTGCCTGTGCTTCCTATTGGCCAAATCCAATCGGAAGTTGGTAAGCAAGGTAGCCTGTTGACATAATGCCTACTGGTTGGCCTTCCAGTGCAGAGAGCAGGGTGGGAGACCAGAGAGAACGAGAGAGGACTAAACAGGAGTAAAAAGAAAGCACCTGGCCAAGATACATGTGTGTAAAAATATGTTAGAACATGAACAGAAGCTTTCTGCTGGGGATGGGAAGGTCGGATTGGATTAGCATTTACTATAATCTAAGAAGCAATGGAAAATTGGCCGGGAGAAAACTCAAGAACCCTGAGAACTAATGCTGTTCATTGGTGTGTAGACAAGTCACTTCCTCTCTGGATCTCAGCTTCTGTATTATGGGACTGGGCGACCCACTAAAAGTTCTTCCAGCTACAACTCTCCATGATTCCTTGAAATGAGCTTTGCTTGCACACAGGAGCTTTCCAATAAGGTTAGTCACATATGATAGACCCATGATGACTTTCTATTGACTCCAGATCCTTTTCTATAGTGCCCTTCCGGAGACAACCCTCATGTTTTCTCTTAGTTCACAGCCCCTCCAATCAATGAACTTCTCCTGTAGCAGCCTCTATAAGACATGTCTCTTACCGACCACACTCCCATTCCTTGAAGTTACGAAGGAGAGAAGTACATCACGCAGGCCATCTCCATTCACATCAGCCAATTCCAACGGAGACAGGTCCCCACCTGATGAACACATAAAAACAAAAAAGTCCTGAGTTAAGTCACCACAAACCAGTTCTCCCAGGTTACAAAGGGAACAGACACAGAGCACTGCCAGCACCTCCCTAAAAAATAGGCAGACTTCTGGTTCCTAGATAAGACAGAGTACACACAGTACTGCCTATTCCTCTAAGTGCAGCTCAAGTCCCCAGGCATTACTGAGAAAACAAATGTAAGAAGACTCTGGAAGGCGCAGAGAAGGTAGCATGGCTAGAGATTGCAAAACCCACAGAATGACAAGGTGATGACTCCCCTGGGCTTTCTTTTGGCCTGAAATGTCCCAGATGAGGTGCTGCAGAAGCTGGCAACCAGAAATGCCAGCAGGTACAGACAAAAAAGGTCCAAGAAAAGCTGGCTCCCCTCGCCAAAGGACCAGGAAAAGGAGCAGCATAGCGAGACAGGAAAGTTTTAGATGACAAGTGTTCTACACCAACGAAACACCATACAGATAGAACTGTGCCCCCACCCCACCCCCACAGCAAAGGCCAAGTGAGAGCCTAGAGATCCACTTTGCCCAGCTGTAAGAAGGCACCCTTCCCCCACCCCAACCAAGGTCACATCGGAGAAGGCCAGGTGGGGAGCCAGGACTTTCATTCCTGCCTAGTGCCCTCCACACACACAAGGGAAGCCTATAGTTTTACCCCTACCTGGCATGAATGAGGCAGCTCGCACCGCCCCTGCCTGGGTGGTGTCAGCAGGGGCCTGGCAGGGAGTCTGGGCTTCCCACTGAGCGGTGACAGATAGTGCCACCCTACCCCTCAACAGTGTGGAGTCAGAGGACACCTGCCAAAGTTGGAGAGAACTCATGCACAGCTGGTGGAAGTGTAAATTGGTACAACCACTATGGAAAATAATTTAACGTAAATTGAACACACGCACACCTTATGACCCAGCAGTATCACTCACAGGTTAATGCTCTAGAGAAATGCTCACACGCTGCATCAGCAAACATGTACAAGAATCTTCTTAACAGCATTATTCATTTTTTAAACATAGAAGTCACCTAAATGTTTATCAACAGTAAAATGAATCAATAAATCATGGATAATCATACCATGGGAAATCAGTGATGAAAATGAGTAAGGTCCAGTTACAGTATATCAATATTGATGAACCTCAAAAAGCATTTTATAAACATGCTAAACAAAAAGAAAAAACAAGTCACAGAAGCCTGCTTAATTACATTTATACAAAATTCAAAATGGGAAAAATTACTTTACCATGTGGTAAAACTTTAAAGAAAAGTAAAGAAATAATGACACAAAACTCAGGGCAGTAGAACTCTGGCAGGGAGAGGTGGCTTTGGTGAGGAGGGACACATGGAGATTTCAACGGTCTTTATAATGTCTTATTTCTTAAACTCAGTGGTGGATACATCAGTGATTTGTTCCTAGCCTTTACACCATATACAAATATTATAAGAGCTCACTTAAAACCATCAAAAAAGGAAGGAAGAGGTGTGCCTGGGTGGCTCAGTCAGTTGAGCATCCAACTCTTGATTTCAGCTCAGATCATGATCACAGGGTCATGGGATCGAGCCCTGTGTTGGGCTCCGGGCTCTGAGCTGAGTGTGAAGCCTGCTTAAGATTCTCTCACTCTCTTTCACTCTCTCTCTTTCTCTCTCTCTCTCCCCCTCTGCCCTTCGCCCCTACTTGAGCTCTCTCTCTCTATAAAATAAAAAAAAAAATTTTGTTAATAAATTGCAATCTTTTAAAAAAGGAAGACAGGGAGAGATATCCTGTGTGGTGGGAATACAGCATACGTCACATCTACCCAGTCTTGCCTTAAGAGAAAGTAAAGGTGAGAACACAGAACTCATCAGAAGCTAAATCAACTAAAATTAGTGAAGTGTCAGAGGTAAAATATTTCTAAACGAAGATGATGTAGGGGTTTGGGAGTATTGTAGGGGAGGGAAAATTTCTCCTCTACCTTCTTAGGGTTCCTAGCTGGGACTGAGTAATAAAACATAATGAGATAACCGGTTAAGAAGACAGACTGACGTGACAAAAGGACTCAACGTTCACTGAATGAAATTTCACATGTACGTGGGAGCCCCCACAGAAAAATAAAGACCTGGAGAAGTGCTTACGTACTAGGTTGAACAAAGAGTGGTAGCCATGGGAAGGGAGCTAACACGTCTAAAGAGACTAAAGGAAGAGAAGAGTTATTTTAACAAGGTCTCTGTTTGCACAGACTTCCCTCAGCCTCAACCCCCTGTCTCTGTTGATTAGAATGCTTCTTTCCTCCTGGTACTGGGAGGGCATCTTTCACATAGGAGTTTCATCTCCTGCTTCAGGGAAGAATTAAAGGTCAAGGTCAGAGTGCCCTTCTTGCATCTGCTGCTATTCATGTGCCTTCAACTCAAAATAAACAATATTTTGTTTGCTGTGACATATTTTGGGGTGGTGTTCTGAACTCCCACACCCCAAGGCAGTTCATAAAAGACAGGACTGTTTGGCACTCACAGCTCAGATGGAATCGCATTCTGGACCCAGAGCAAGCTGTTTTAAAGAAACCTGCCCCAGAATGAAACAAAATAGCTAGAATTACTTGGGTGGCACCAACCTAACCATTAGGAGCAAGAAAGAAAACTTACCACAAGAAAGCAAGTCGACTTTACTTGAAAGAAATTATTTCAAAATTCAAATTGGGTGAGGCTCCTATAATCGACAAATGCCTGAGGGTCCTACAAAGCCCTGGCCTCTGGTCTGGCCAGGCCTTGAGCCTTACTTTTCTCTGTAAATAGCCCGTCTCACAGCTTTGCTCTCCCCTGACAGTGTTGGCTGCACTGCAAGGACCCAGCAAACCAATGCTCTGTCCTATCTGCATCTAATTAAGACCAACGCCAATAGAAACACAACAGAGCAGCGACCTTCCCAAGCTTCTGGAGCTGTATCAATCTTTTTGTTTTATTTCCAATTTTAACCTCCTAACCACCCCCACACACAGGGAGAGGAATGCTATATGACACACATTTATTTGTAAAGACCTGGAGGGAATTTTCAACGTCATCAGCATACAGTTTTACAGAAGTTTTACAAAATTACATGTAAACTTGAAGTTTTCCATAATTGGGGCTGGAAATCCTGCAACTCACCTCTCTGGGGGCCCAGGTGGCGGCTCCAAGTGCTGTGCAGATCTCTGGGGGGACAGGGGATCAGGAAAGCACATACGAGCACCAGGATCATGGAGATGACCAAAGTTAGCAGGAAGACAGATGTGCGTACGTAAGACACGATGGAAGAGGTTGCCTTCTGCTCCAGGCCCCCAAGAGGTTCTGAGGGGTACCCCTCTGTGGCGACTTCTGAAAGATGCGGCTTTGCAGCCCCCACAGCCTCAGCATCTGAGTCAGGTTCTGGCCCTTCTCCCAGAGGGCTCTTCCCGTTTTTGACCCCTCCATTCTTCTGCTGCAAGTTGAGCACAAGGTCATCCTCGCTCTCGTCACTGTCGGCCTGTGTGAGGGGGTCATACTCCCCTAGATCTGGACTTTTCTTCCCTGAAACACAGAAAGACGGAATGTCAGGAAGAACTAGGAAGGAGAAACCCTCAACAATTACATGGCAACTGTGAACAGCTAAAAGAACACACAGAAAACAAAATAACTTAAGTTTACAAACTTAAATCTTGATGGCTATCTATAAAACAGATGCCAGCAAAATGGGGAAAGAATGGGGGGAAAGAAAATCAGTGTTCTAGAATTATTGCTTTTATGACTTTAAAAAATTGGAAAAGAAACAAAGTGGCAAATTTCAAATACCTTTTTAGTTTTTTTTTTTTTCAATATATGAAATTTATTGTCAAATTGGTTTCCACACAACACCCAGTGCTCACCCCAACAGGTGCCCTCCTCAATACCCATCACCCACTCTCCCCTCCCTCCCACCCCCCATCAACCCTCAGTTTGTTCTCAGTTTTTAAGAGTCTCTTATGCTTTGGTACCTTTTTAGTTTTAAAAAAAAACTCTTAATGTGTGTGAATCTCACTAAAGAAAGACATGGCTCTTATATCAACCTTCCATATGCCTTATGTGCAGATTTCCTTTGATTTTCTTAGATCTGTGATGTTCCAATCCTTCCTGGAACTTGCCTAAACTTCAGAAGAATCGTTCTCTGGGCACTGCTTCTCACAGTCGGATATTCGTGGCTTCCTAATGGTCTCCACAGAAACAGCTTGCAAAGTAGAACACTGTCACCTGAAAACTCACTTCTGAGAAACTTCCTACGATTCTAAAGCCCTGTCAGTACATGTTTCAGTAAACACTGTTTACCTTTACAAATGCTATTCTGAGCAAGTATTTTAGGAGGGGTGGGATCAAGCAGGAATGCAGCGGTAAAGGATTTTTCTCAAAGCTGGCTTACACAACAAGCGCTCTGTTTTTACTTAGACTCTACATTTATTTGGGGTGGCTGACAGGTGAAAATTATAGGAGAGCTGAAGCAACACTTGCTCCCAAGCCACTCCTTGACCCTCACCGCCAATGACTAACTGCTTTTATGCCTTTAGTTCATGCTATCACCATGCAAAAACCAAGAAAAAATTTCCAGTGTTAGAAATTACATGGTAAGGGGTGCCTGGGTGGCGCAGTCGGTTAAGCATCCGACTTCAGCCAGGTCACGATCTCGCGGTCCGTGAGTTCGAGCCCCGCGTCGGGCTCTGGGCTGATGGCTCAGAGCCTGGAGCCTGCTTCCGATTCTGTGTCTCCCTCTCTCTCTGTCCCTCCCCCGTTCATGCTCTGTCTCTCTCTGTCCCAAAAATAAATAAACGTTGAAAAAAAAAATTAAAAAAAAAAAAAAAAGAAATTACATGGTAAGTTGTACTAACATAAACTCCATTGTTAAAGCTTTTATTAAGAAGAAATGTAAAGGGGCACCTAGGCTCAGTCAGTCGAGCGTCTGACTCTTGATTTCAGCTCAGGTCATGATCCCAGCATCGTGGGATCAAGCCCCACATCAGGCCCCTGTCAGATTCCATGCTGAGCATGGAGCCTGCTTAAGATTTTCTCTCTTTCCTTCTGCCCCTCTCCCCAACTCTCCCCTCCACCAATCAATCAATCAATCAATCAATCAATCGTGTTTAAAAAAGAAATATAAAAAAGAAAATACGACCCAGTTAATTAAAAAGGAAAAAAGAAAAATTCTTGATGTTGATCTCTGCCTCTTGTCACTGTGATCTTGGTGATGTCACTCCATATATTATGTCTCGTTTACTCAAGACATAATATGAAGCAATAAAACACTATATAGAAACCAATATGGGAAGTAAAATCTTTAGTGTAAAACTTAGTGCTTGGTACACAGAAAATCAATAAATATTTTATTAAAAAAATAAACATTACACAGATATACTTTATAACATTAAGTATTTTACAAAAAAAAAAAACACAGAAGATACTGAGCAAACTTGCATTCTATTAACTAGACACTCCTATGTATTTTCACTTTCAAAGCTATTCATTTTATCAACAAATATTGGATTTGTCTTGTAAAGGCACAAATTGTAAGAAAATAGACCAATTATTAGGAATTTAATTCAAAATAGTATTTCCAAATTATGCTATAAAGTCAGTACAGGTTTTAAGCTAATCTTCTACAATTTATATATCTACTCCGTGAACCAAATTATTTTATTAATTAGGGTACCCCATTTTCTAACTGTCCCATATAATTTTAGTTATAATAATCTGCAAACAGAACCATAGGCTGTTATAATAATATTAACTCTAAAACTTAAAACAAAAATTTTTTTTAACTAAAAGGATATACCTGATGGGATTCAAAATGTGATATATACATCCCATGGATTACTATCCCACCTTAAAAAGTAAAGAAACTCTAACATGCTATATAATACAGACGAACCTTGAAGGCATTATGCTAAGTGAAATAAACAGAGACACTGTATGATTCTTATATGAGATATTTATCTAGATTAATCAAATTCATAGAAACAAATTAGAATGTAGTTTCCAGGGCCTGGGAGTATGGGTAAATGGGGAGTTGTTATTATTTAATGGGTACAGGTTTCCCTCACTATCCAAAAGTAGAGTATTCCTGTCAAAATCCTCCTAAGCTGTAATAGCATAAAACAAAGAAGCAATTATCATTAATTTATATGGAAAATTTTTTTGAGCTTTCCCAGACCCAAGCAATAACCTCTCCTGGGCTTTTCTGATACCTCAGGGCACATCTTGCTAATAGATGCACAAAATAAGTTGGGATAAAGCACAGATGCCCCCAGACACAGTTCAAAGCCCTGGCGGCTTGGGGCTGAGATGCTGAGGGTGGTTCCCAGGCAAGCAGCTAGGCGGGGACCCCTCCCACGGCTGGGGTGAGCGCTGCCTCTCTAATGACTTGCTGCAAAACAAGCACCGAATGCTCTTTTCACTTTTTGCCTTTTTTTCACAAAAGCGAAAATCCTCTTTGGATTTCTTTAGGTTAGTGAAAATAGGCACTGACACAGGTCTTCCATAAAAGCAAAGGGACATAATGCAAACTATCAAAGAGCGGGGGATGCCTTACAGAGCTTCAGCTTTGCTAGACAAAGTTCTAGACACTGGTTGCACAACAATGTGAATATGCTTAACAATACTACATTTAAAATTGGTTACATTTTAAACGTGCATTTAAAAATGGTTGAGAGGGTGACTTTTATGTGTAATTTACCATGATTTTAAATTTTTTTAATTAAAAAAAAAAGACTATATCTAACAAAGAGGAAATCAAACACCCACCATGCAGTCACTCAGCATACACCTGAACATAAGCAGTGTGAGGGAAACTCACTGCCCTCCAATCCAGAAAGCAGTTCCATACACGGATTCGAGAATCTGTTTCTGGCCATTTGCCGATTATCTGCCCTAGTTCTAACTTCTGGGACCCCTCTTCCACATGCAAGTCCTTCAAAACGTGAAGACACCAGTCATAAGAAAAGTATCACATGGTGTTTAAGAGTTCAAGTCTTTACAGGCAGACAGACAGACAGACAGAGTCAAATCTTGGCTCCATCTCTTTTTAATCATGTGACCTCAATTAATTTCTCAGCTTTAGTAAGCCTTATTCTCCCCATTTCTGAAATGGGGCAATTATTTTTCCCACCTCATGCAACTATTTTTGAGGATTAAATAAGATAACATATGCATGGTCCTTAGGGTCTGGCTTATAGTTGCAGTCAACAGATTTCAGCTTCTATTATTACTGTTGGCATTATTTCTCCCAACTGCCCAATCTTGTCTTCCCCAGGTTAAACGTCTCCACCTCCTTCAACTCATCACTTGAAGAAGCACCGTTTCACGTGTCCTCAACATCCTGGTCGCTCTGCTCTGGACACAATGTGATATGTCAGTGCTTCTTAAAGTATGGTTCTTGGAACTGGATACAATCCCCAGGGTGCAGTCTGACCAGGCCAGGGGAGGGCAGAACCATGTCCTCCCTAATCTAGAGAATACGCTACAATTCGATTCCCGTAACCTAATATCTTGCCAGCTTTCTTGGCAGTCACATCACACAACTGATTCAACTCAAACTCCCAAGTATTGTCTACATACACTCAGGTCATCTTATATAACGGTACAATTGGATTTTTAGCATCAAGTGAAAAATTTAGCATTGATACTTACTAAATTCAACCTTGCTTGTCAGTTGCCACCTTGCAACAAATATACCAGTCTAAAACAGTCAATGTAAAACCCTTACTAAAATATTGGCTAACAAAACAGTTTAAAAGAAATGCATTTTATGATATCACACACTATCACAGGCAGGAAGAGAACTTGGCTGCATATGCTACAGAAACTAGTAAAATCTTTACTAAACCTATAAAACTAATTTGCAAGCATCCTTTGAAAATCAGCTGCTCTTGAAATGGTCTCTGTAAAATACTATATACTTCCAGTTGATGACAGCAAAGGAAAGCATTTCTGTCAGTATTCGTCCTAAAAACTGGGGGGTGGAGGGAGGGGTGTAATAAAATGGGAGAAAAGAAAACAACCACATTCCCAAACTACAATTTATGAAAAATTGTTGCCAAATGCAGCAAAACTTGTATCCTATTGAGGAAGCACAGTAAGAGTAGATACATGCATCTCAGGTCCCCACCAGTGAGCAGAGTTCCCAGAGTTAATAATGACAACAATAAAGATGATGGCAATGATGCTAACTGAAAAGTAGGAGTGCCTACTATCCTGGGCACTGGTCCAAGCATGTACACGTTAATTCATTCCATCCTCATGACAACCCTGGAAGGTAGGTATCGTTGTTGTTGTTGTTGTTGTTGTTGTTGTTGTTGTTGTTATTCCCATTTTACCAACAAGAAATGAAAATATAGAGAGATAAGTTGCATAAGATCACAGAACTAGGGAGAAAGAGAGCCAGGATTCAAACTCAGGCAATCTGACTACAGAATTCACAATCCTAACCAATCAATTGTATTACCTCCCTTGTTCCATGGATACATAGCCAAACTGGCTATCTCTTGCTTAGAAAGACCAAGTCTGTGGTCCCAAAGGCATCAATGGGCCCCATTCAACACCACAGAAGACTCAAAAGCAAGGTAAAAGTAAATGAGAAAGGCTTCTATGTTTACAGGAAGCAGGCTGTCAGGCTGGCAGGTAAGAAAAGTAGCTGTAGACAGTCAGACCTGAAGAGGGGGATTTTTTTTTTTTTTTAAACAGGCTGGGGCCCAAGTAGATTAAATTCTAGCTTCTAACTGCCCTGGCTCACTCCCCCAGCCTCTGCCTGCATGTCAGCCAAGAGCTAGCTATAAAACAAATGACCATTAAATATGATTTATAATCAGAAAGAAGCCATCATTAGTACTTATTCTATGAGATATTTCAAAGTTCTGCAAATATTCAAGAAAGAAGTTACAAAAAAACATAGCCAACAAAATCTACTGAGGAACCAATGCTGGACAAATTACGCCACAAAATGGAAGAAATAATGAACAGATACTTCCCCAGGGAATCCAAGAAATTAAAGAAAACAGTTTCTCTGAAATAAGAGTACACACACACATACACACACACACACACACACACACACACAATATTTCTAAGAATAAAGGACAACTGAATAGAGAAGATGAGAAGTAAACAAGCAGGGCTCAGAAAAACAATGGAAAAAATAATAAAACAAGTTTAGAAAAGATACCCTTACTGGAATGAGCAAACGGGCAGACATGGCTGAAAAGAGTCCGAGATATAAAGGGCAGACTGGTGGAAAATCAAGCAAAATGAAATGGAAACAAGAATGGCTGGTAGTTCCAAGCACTTAGTATGCCCTCTTCCACACCCTTATCTCTGCAACTCTTCATAACAATCTTTGCAGACAGAAACATTATTATCTCCGTTTTCAAGATGAAGAAACTGAGGTTTGGAAGTTTAAGTAACTGGGCCCACAGTTAAACAGCAAGTAAGCAATAATGCAAGCACTCAAATCCAGGCAGTCTGGTTTTGAGGTCTCCCATGGAAAAGATCAAGGCTTTCAAGGAGACTAAAAAGGCATAGATACAGACAGCAAAAGTGACCCAATATATGCGTAACTGAAGAAGACAACGGAAAAGAAAATGGAACAAAAAACAATAATTAAAAGACATGCCAAACAAGCTCCTGTAATATAGCAAGACCCAAAATGGTAAAGGGCACACTGAGTCCCAAGAAAAACTGATACAGAATAATCAATACTGAAATATATTGCAAAAAAGGGGCTAAACTTCAAGGACAAAAAAAGAATCATATACGAGCAGCCAAGCCAATGGAAAGAGAATCCAGTCAGTAAAGATGGGAACAAAAACCAGGCTAACTTAGTAGTGCAATTGCTGGGTTGTAGGGTTTTGAAGGGGCACATGCACCCCAATGCTTACAGCAGCACTATCAACAATAGCCAAAGTATGGAAAGAGCCCAAATGTCCATCTACGGATGAATGAATAAAGAAGATGTGGTGTACATACACACACACACACACACACACACACACACACACACACACACACAATGGAGTATTACTCAGCAATCAAAAAGAATGAAATCTTGCCATTTGCAACTACATGTATGGAACTAGAGGATATTATGCTAACTGAAATTAGAGAAGGACAAATATCGTATGACTTCACACATATGTGGAATTTAAGATATAAAACAGATAAGCATAAGGGAAGGGAAGCAAAAACAATACAAAAACAGGAAAGGGGACAAAACATAAGAGACTCCTAAACAGAGGGTTACTGGAAGGGTTGTGGGAGGGGGGATGGGCTAAATGGGTAAGGGGCATTAAGAAATCTACTCCTGAAATCATTGTTGCACTATATGCTAACTAACTTGGGTGTAAATTTTAAAAATAAAATAAAATAATCAGGCTAACTTCTTATCAGTAACCTATATTATCAAAAGATAGTGTATTTTTCCAGACATTACACAAAGCCCAGCTTAATTATTCCAGACTATAAACTTGATCAGAGAACTCCTATGTAAATATGTTTGCTATCTGTCACAGAAAGACAAGGGATTGTGAAGTATAAAGTACACCAACTTGCCTGAAGTTATAATCATGATCAAATCCACACTTCAGAAGGCAGGGCACTTTAGCACTCTTTTCTCTACTGATTACAGCCACCACCCATATTTTTAATCAATGAAAGGTTTTCAAAGAATAAAGGAGAGGATACTGATTTCATAATGTATCAATATAAATGAGCTTTCCACAGCTATCACTTTTCACCTTAGGAAGACTGAGGATGCCAGTTAAACAGCATTCCCAAAATGGTACAGAGGAAAACAGGAAGGAAGTGCAACTGTATCTTCCCCAGGTATGTTCAGGAAAATATGGTGTAAAACACACCATTCTGTGATATGTACTATACATAGACTACACTCTACTGCAATTTAAGGTAAATCACATCATAGATTAGATTATCCAGGGCCCATAACGATTCTAAATTACACATAATAAAACAAATCGTTACAGTAACATTGCGCTCTGATATACCTTTCAGGCTTTGACCTTCAAACTTTAAAATGGACAAAAAAAAATATTTACTTAAGATAAGTTGTTCCACAGGCTGCTTTATGAATGTCACATTGTCCTTCTGTTACTAATTTACCCTATCATATGCATGTGAGCCAAACATCTTTCCATCTTGGGCTTAGTGGAAGGGTAAGAGACTGAAATAGATTCCAAGCAACTGTCCTTTCTTCACCAACTTGATGACATCTGTCATTAGCTCACTGTTACATTAGGCCTTCCTTCAGGAAGCACATTCCTAAATGAGCCTGGTGCTAACAAAGATGATAATAAGAACTAACACTTACTGAATAATAACAAACCTCTCCAGTACATCCATTTCTTCTACTAAGACAAATAATCCCGGGGCGCCTGGGTGGCTCAGTCAGTTAAGCATCCAACTTCGGCTCAGGTCATGATCTCACGGTTCATGGGCTCATGCCCCGTATCCGGCTCTGTGCTGACAGCACGGAACCTGGAGCCTGCTTCAGATTCTGTGTCTCCCTCTCTCTCGCCCCTCTCCAGCTTGCACTCTCTCTCTCTCAAAAATAAATAAACTTTGAAAAAAAATTATTTTTATTTTTTTTTAACATTTATGTATTTTTGAGACAGAGAGAGACAGAGCATGAACGGGGGAGAGTCAGAGAGATGGGGAGACACAGAATCTGAAACAGGCTCCAGGCTCTGAGCTGTCAGCACAGAGCCTGACGCAGGGCTCGAACTCACAGACCGCAAGATAATGACCTGAGCCGAAGTCGGAAGCTTAACCAACTGAGCCACGAAGGCGCCCCCCAAAAAATTTTAAGCCAAATAACCCCATGAGGTAAATATGAAGCAGAGTGTGCAGTACCTAAAGAATTTTCCATAATAATAGTATTACGACACATGAACAAACTAAAGCTTAAAAAGATTAAATAACCAATCTGGTAAACACTGGACTTGAACCCAAAGCTGTGTCATGCTCTTAGTTACCATTCTAGTCTGCTTCTTTACACATAGAAATAGTGAGGATGTCACTGTGGTGATCATTTTGCAATATATACAAATATCAAATCATTACGTTGTATACCTAAAACTAATAGGATGTGTCAATTAGACTTCAGTTTTAAAAAAAGAGACGATGTTAACTAAGGTAACATAACACAGTAGCCCAAACTGGATAACACCTTCACAGTCCCAATCACAGGAAATCCAAAAAAAAGTTATTAAGGCAACTTCTACCTAATATAAAAACTAAAAATTGTATTTGGGGCAGTGGGGAGAAACGACAAAAGGGAGACAAGCAAAAGTACTAACAAAAACAAACAAAAGAAACCACAACCCACATCATCGAAGAGAACACGTGGCCATTGCACCCGGGCCTTAAAAAGTATGGAACATACCTGTCTCTTCAGGTCCAAGGCGCTGTTCAAACACAGGCCCAAGGACCAGACTATACTTTCCCTACCCTGTCAGCTGACTGAGTTACTGCAACTGAATACTCCAGGGAGTGATAGTGTCACAGCCTTACGATGTGAGAATGCAAAAGAGCTCAAGAGTTTCAAAAGCGTTTTTCTTGCATTCCCATCCTTAGAGAAGAATAATTATCTATGCTGGGAAAAAAGAAAAGGAACTTAAAAGAAATAAATCTAAATATGTCTGACATCTCATTATCCTTGGAGAGGATATCATCCTACACTAAGGATATACAAAGGTACTCTCTTTAAAGTTAATTAATCCTGGGGCGCCTGGGTGGCTCAGTCGGTTGAGTGCCTAACTTTTGATTTCGGCTCAGGTCATGATCCCAGGGTCGTGGGATCGAGCCCCACGTCCAGCTCGGCGTGGAGTCTGCTTAAGATTCTCTCTCTCTCTGCCCCTCTCCCCCACTTGTACTCTCTCTGCATTCTCTTAAAAAAAAAAAAAAAAAAC